TCCCACCGGTTGAGCTCACATGCTCTTTCTCTAACGGCACCAGGCAAATTATCCCGTCCCAGAATGGACTTGTCTATTACCGGCCGCTCAAAGTTTTGGCGTCCTGGTCCTGGTTGCGTCCTACATGCACGTCCAGCTGCGGCGGCCGGCGCACACCGGTCAGGCCATAGGCGGGTCCGGCGAGCTAATTGTGGCAGTGGCATCGCAATAATAATAATAAAAAAATGAGAAATCGTTTTTGTTCGGAGAGTGTGTGCCCTTTTCAAAATAGCTGTAGCTGTATTTTCGCGAAAAATAACTTGTGTAAAAAATCTGATTAAATCCGAGATATTCTTTTTTTTTTTGACTCGACATTCGGAAATTATTGTGTAATCAGCAACTGTCTTAAATTTGTTAAAAAAGAAAAAAAATGTTTCCAGGAAAGTTATTTTCAGTGGACTAATGTTTTATTTTCTTTTGCAGCTGTCCGCTGGTCGCTGGCCGGGGGTGTTATGAGACCACCAACACTCCACGATGTAAGTAAAACCATCAGTTCAGTCGAGGGGAAAGAAAAAGCGCGCACGAAAGAAAAAGTCTTCCGTTTTCATCTTGCGCTCGCCTTCTCTCTGTCCGTTTTCGACAAGTTGTCTTGGCGTTTATTCCACCCCCACCTCTTTTTCCGCTCACTACGAGGGGCTCGTCTGCTTCGTTCTGCTCCACGCGAGCGCCGCGCGTCGCGTCGTCGTTCGGACGCAAAACCATCCGCTCCCAAAACTTTTATCGATTTGTCTTCTTTACGGAAACGTCAGGGCGCGGCGGCGCCCGCGCAGCAAGCACTTGTAGACGCACCCCGTCTCCTCCTCCTCCCCCCCCCCCCCCCCCCTCGCTTGTCATTCAATCACTTGTCGGGTTCCGCTAACTGCCTGTCATTAACGTGTATGGAAGCACATGCGCTCGCAAGTTTCTCAATGCGATTACCCTGCCTTCCCTCCTCCCTCCCAAGCTGCCTCTTCCTTCTCCCTTCACCCTCCCGCGCGCGCGTGTCTCCAAAATATATCCTCTCTGTGATTGCGCGCCAGAGAGAGAGAGAGAGAGAGAGAGAGAGAGAGAGAGAGAGAGAGAGAGAGAGAGAGAGAGTACATTCTTTCCTCACGCCACCCCTAAAGCGTCATCTCTGCAGGAGGTCGCTTGCAAAACGTCCAACAATTTCACAAGTCGCGGGCGGCAGCGCGCGGGAAGGGAACGAACACATTCGTAGAGGGAAAAGTAATCAGGCTTCCCGAATTTGTGTTTTATTGGCAGTTTTCGTTTCTCTCCTCTTTCCAGTTTTTGTTATGTATTTTTTTTTAATCGCGGTGAGGGGCGCGCCTTTGCAGCGTAAGAGTTGATTAAAAGAAAATCGGCCTTGCATATGACATTTTCTTTCTTGTCCTGAATTCGTTTTTGCACGGCTGTATTTTACATTTTTGTGCCTACTTACTATTTTGTTTGTTCTTGTTGTACGCGGTAGTAGTTTACCGATAAACCAAGGGCCCCGAAACGGTTAACACTCGCACGTGCACTATCATGTTGAACACTTGACAGGTGAACAAGTCTGATTTATGTTTACCGATTGAACACTATGACTTACCAGAGTATAAAAATGCCATCCTCTGTTTTTGGATTGACATGAAAAACAAATCATATTCACTGTGTCGGTAATTACAAAACGGACCGTGATAGGGTGTGTGAGTGTGAAAGGGGGGACATCTGACTTTGAGTGGCAAAAAACCACCCCCTCCAAAAAAACTACACCATCTGTCGGTGAAATTGTTTTAGTCCGGTCCGGAAACATGGAAAATGACTGTGAGGAGACAATCACTGAACAACCCCCTAGGGGCCTCCCGCCGCTTTCCCGCGGCGCGACCGATGGTGGGGCGGGGCCGCTCAGGGAAACAGTCCGCGCATACTGTTGTTTGGTCATCACTCATAGTGTTGGAAGCCGTAGAAAGTTTTCGGAAAATTTCAGCAAAATTTGTGGGAAAAGTGGGAAATTTTTCAGACTTCGAAGATTTTCCCTTAATTTCCGGAAATTTTCGGGAATTTTTCGGAAATTTTCGGAAATTTTTAACCCCAATCACGTAGCACTAAATACTTTTTGCTTTTCACTGTGTCGTTGTGTATGCACTTGACGAGATGATGTCACTTACTTCGTAGTAAAGACTTTGTCGTGCGCTCCAACAACAGCGCGGTTCAGCAGCAGCAGCAGCAAGTAGCCGCGAAACCCTACATACAATTTTCAGCGAATCCATTCCATCCTATAGGGGTAGGGCTCTATGGCAGGCGATGTTGCCCAGTCGCACTAATGCCCCATTCATCCCCGTCTCGGCCCGGACGCTTGGCCCGGCCACCCCGCCCCGCCC